TGTGCCAACATAACACTGATTTGCCCACAGTTCCATAGTACTATGCACGAGGTGGTATCGGAAAGTTCCCGGACTCTTATCGTTGCAACCGCCTCGGTTAAATAAGATGAGAAGGGAGGCCAATGTCATAGCAAATCAAACTACATCAGTCTGTCACGTGACACCGCGCTGTGAACACGCATTTCTTTTACACGAGTGCTTTTTCGACTTCGTGTTTCGTTTTGCCTGCGATGAATGGCAAAATCGAGCAACGTGACTGCATCAAGTTTTGCGTGAAGCTCGGTAAATCCGCTACCGAAACCCTTGAAAGGCTTCGTGAGGCTTTTGGAGAGTATTCTTTAAGCCGAACAGCGGTTTTTGAATGGAATTCACATTTCAAGTACGGTTAAGTGTCAGTTGAAGATGACAAACGTTCGGGGCGACCAAACATGAGCAAAACGACAGAAAATGCTGAAAAAATTCGAGAATTAATCAACAAAGACGTCGCTGAAAAATCCATGCGCTCTCAGATACCGTTGAGATCAGTTATGGAGTTTGCCAGGAGATCTTAGCATAAAATTTGAACATGCGCCAAATTGCTCCTTCATAATGACAACGCGCCCGCAGACAAGTCCCTGAAAACCACGGTGTTTGTGTCTAGTATCATATATGTAACCATCAATCCCAGCTACATCACTGGGCTATTCTGTCTGCCATTTGACAAATTTGTTCTCTTTTTTCCAGGCAAATGTAGGGATATCACCACAAAATAGGCTACCACCACGCGATGGCCTCCTTTTCTCAAATTCCTATCGTTTCATCATTTCTGATAAAACCCGCATTTAATTTAGTACTCTATAAATCTGCACTTGAAACATCGTACTTAGGACAGAGTACTCTCAGTCTAATCATTTCCCTTGCCCGTATTCGAACCTTAAACTTTCCTATTGTTGAAGAAAGCAGTCTTCTGGGATTTGGCACCGTGTATATGTGGTGTTAACCGACGTTTCGGAGGAACGTATCGCCTCCATCTTCAGGGTAGAAGAAAAATATAAGAAATCTGCAAGCGAAGAGACCGTGAGAACCGGTAAAAGCAGACTCTCACGGTCTCTTCGCTTGCAGATTTCTTATATTTTTCTTCTACCCTGAAGATGGAGGCGATACGTTCCTCCGAAACGTCGGTTAACACCACATATACACGGTGCCAAATCTCAGAAGACTGCTTTTTTCATAGTCACCGCCGTGAAAGCCTAAAAAATTTTTCCTATTGTTATTGGCGATGTCTCTGAATTGGGATTTCAATGTCTCAATAGGGACGTACAGTTCTGCTGTGAAAATACTATCATTCTCTGTAGTAAGAAGGGTTTGTGTCATCTAATGCATGTACAAGAATAGACTTCTTGGGCGAGTTATTCCATTTTTGCCGTACCTGACGACTGGTAAGTCATCAACGTGCTCATATTTTGATGGCAGCTGCCAAGAAGCAGGACAGAGCAGTGAAAGGGCAAACTTTCGCTTTCCAGAACACACAAATTATATTGCTACCCATTCCAGAATGATGATTTGCTTGCATGAAGCATTGTGGGCCCAAAATTAACAAATAAAAACACCTCATATTTACGTGACTTACATTACTCTAGTTTCTGAGGCTAGACTTCAAAGACGCTGCCAACTGTGAGGAACAAACAACCGTGCCCTGACTTCCGTATGATGTAACTACAGAGTTGTTGTAACAGAAGAATTTCTGATGAATAGTTATGTAGCAATGTTCAAGTGCTTATAACGTTCAGTGATTGGCATCACTTCTTTCTAACGTAACCAACAGAACAGGTAACTCCCACCCCCTCACATGAGCAAGGAAAGACATCCGGTTTCCGAAACGTTGTGTTGTTTAGAATACCAGACGATGGACAAAGTCCCAAAACCAAATAACCCCGAGTGTTACACACCTTCATCAGAAACTTTTGGAATCTACACACTTCTTTATCATATCTAAGATAACTCTAGTTATATAAATGTATACATAGGATATATATATGTGTGCGTAAATTCCTATATATATATACATTACATTAGGGCACGCCATAGCTCAAGCGGTTAGTCGCTGGCTTTCCATCGCGGCTGCCCGCATTCGATCCCGGGTCTGGTTAAGTGGGATTTGTGGTGGACAAAGTTGTCCTGCGGTAGGTTTTCTCCGAGTATTTCGGTTTCCCCTGCCAATCTTCATTCCACCAATTACTCCACAATCACCCTCACCTTTCATCTGGGGCTGGTACAATAGGCCAGAAGTGGCCGCAGTACAAGGGATTTAGTCCCCCCCCCACTAAAACAAAAAAACTACGTAAATAGAATATAATAACATCAAGACACTGAGGTATGGCATAGTTGCTATAGCGACGGGCTACAGGCTGGGCGACTGTGCTTTCGATTGTTTACATAGAAAAGAGATTTTTCTCTTCGTCGCAACGTTCAGACCGGCTTTGGGGCCCACCCAGACTCCTATCCAATAGATACTGGGGGCTACTTCCTCTGGACTGAAGCAGCCGAGGCGTGAAGCTGGCCGCTTACCTCCGTCCATTGCGGAGGTCAAGAATGGCGAAGCTATACCTCCACTTCCCCGTCCTCATGGTGTGGTGTTTAATAAATTATGCGCAGGGACAATTGCACCTTATCTTACATTATGCAGGGATTTTTTATGGTAGATGATGAAGGCTGCATCACCAAAAGTTGACGCCCAATGTCACAGCGTTCCACTGAAACAAGACACGCTCCAGATATTTCATTTCGACGTAAACACTCTGCCAGTCACTGCAAGACCACTCTCACTAGAAACCGTCTCCCACTTTGTCATGTTTCTTCGCTCGCACTGTTAACGCTTTCGCTGGGTAATCTGGAGGCCAAAGGAACCTGCGAGGGGTTCCTCAACCACGGTTGTGTCGGAGTCCAGCATGGAGAACGGGTAGCAAGATCTACTGCAACAAGAACAAATAACTGATAAATATGTCTTTTTCTTTCTTTAGATATTGCCCGTACCCTGGATGAAAATTTTGAGACCTACAGAGGCACTTTCTCCGTCGTTATGTAGAAAGCATTTCTGTCTCCGCTGAGTCTGTTTAATGAAGGTGGCCCGTATCCACTAGTTCTACCCTTTTTATCTAGACGATGTAGGAGCCAACGTTACTCAGTTATACATTAATTACGCTGCGGGCTGGATTACCAGGTCTTCGACTTCCAACAGAGGAAGTCATCCAAACCGGCTCCAATTCTTTCTCCTAGGATAAAGCAAGAGGGTCACTCAGCTGAGCACTTCTCATTCTCCTGCAGACGCTACATATGTGCGGAGCTACTGTAACATGAGTTTCCCCCCCAACATGAATTTACGAAACCTGTAGTTCTGTGTGTCTAATAATAAACAAAGGAGTCCCGTTTCGTGGGCTCTGCTCTACAGAGAATTGTGCTATATCTGACCCGCCTGAAAATGAAACAGATTTCTGTTGTATCCGGCAGATGTCACCATTGATCTCCCCGTCGTAACATGGTGTCTCGCGTAATATTCCGTAGCAAACAGCTACCTTATGTTCCTTACGGATTTTATGTAAGCCTTAAAACGAGGCTATGTCTCTCAGTAGGTGCGACTCTTTGTGCCTAACTAGAGTACAGGTCTTTAAAAATTCATTCCCCGTTATCCAGGGCGATCTTCATTCGCGCTGTCTCATTTAGAGCTACATATCAGAACGCACCTCGCTCGTGTTCGTCAGGCTGCTTACTAGACATTTCGAGCATACACTTTCCGTGCACCCCTGCGGCCTCTCAGACTTGCCTATTTTTCCTGTTATTGTGCTTGTACGCGTTACACCGGTACGCGGGCTAATGTATCACACGTCATGCTGCATAACCCAAATATACCTACTCCGTGATTTTAGTCCGCAAGCGAACTATACCGACCGAGCGACCGCCGCTTGTCGGCGAACTTCAGTGCCAACTTTTGCGGATAGAGGCTGTCACGTGGTCAGCGCAACGAATCCCCATGGCCGTTAATTTCCGTTCTCTAGATCGGAAACTTACCTACAAGTGACTATATATATTATTGTGCCTTTTATACTATTTATCATAATCCCTAGGTCAGCGCAGTCGGTACAGCGACTGGTTATGGGCTGGACGGCCAAGGGTCCAAGTCCGAGCCCCATTAGGAGCAAGAATTTTCTTCTGTCTACGTCGCCCATACAAGTTCTGGAACCCACCCAGCCTTCTGTCCAATGGGTGCTGGGTGGTTTTCCTCGTGGTTAAAGAGTCCAGACCGTGAAGCTGGACACCCCCCCCCCCAACTAATGCCGCCGTCAAAAATAGATAGATCTGTACACCCACTCCCCCATAATTAGTCATCGCTTAGTGCTTTACAACTAGTTAAGCATAGGGACGAGTTTACCTTTTCAACTTTTATCATATGCATATGTCATCATCAGCATGATTATCAGAACTGAATTTCAGTTCCTAAGTGTTCCCACGATTCCAGACCACAAGATCTCCACACTGTCTCCATGTAAATCACATCGCCACCCATCGGGATACCTCCATTTCTCCCTTCGTCTTTATCACGTAGCGTTTGAATAAGTATTTGCCTTTTAACATATACGACGCTGTTCAAAAAGTATCCGACTTTATTTTTTTCTGCTGTAAGTAATGGTCAAAGGGTGGGGAAACTGAGCGTAGTGGTAGAAGGGACTTTCATGCGCATGCGTGATTTTTAATGGACCGTAATCAAAGTTCTCCCATGGCAGCACCGAGCCCTTATGAATATTTCGAATCACGAAGAGGTCTATCTTCTCAAGTATAACGCCGGATGCCAAGTGAAATTCAGCAAATGTTTTGCGGGAATATGTTGACGTTTGTTTCATGCTGCTTTCTTGCTTGTCTTAATTTTCGGCACTGAAAATGGAGGTATTATGTTTTCCGAATTTTCGGTTAACTCTCGCCAGGCTACACGGTGTTATATCCTAGAAGACAGAGCCCTTCATACGCACCCATGTGACCACCTCAAGGCGATCATACAGGACATGCTTGGAGAACAAGTGCATTTCTGAATTCGTCTGAAAAATGCATCATAAGATGGATAGCTCAATTTATGTAGTGACTGAAAACATTTTGGAAAGTCGGGGAGAAAAATTCGTTATTAGCAGATTTACTGCCATCTGTGAGCCGATTCTCTAGAAGATGTGAGAGCATTGACGTCTCACAACGTTATGGGCCTCTACGGCCTGTTACAGGGATAACTTTACCCTATTTTACCATTATGTTCAAAATCTTAAAAATTGGAACCAGAGGCTTTCTCCACGAAGATGCACCAGTCGGAGCGTGAAGCTGAGCCCTTACCTCAATCTAGATCAAGATCTAGAATGTGTTAAACTCTCTCTCCACAATCTCTACATGTGTATTGACGTGGTGCCTAAGCACGTGCATGAATTTGTCTTAAAAGAAAGAACAAAGAAGAGAGACAAACGAACAGGTTGTTGTACCTGTAACCGTCTAGGCTGTGTACACACTCCGTTTCATTCTCAGCCGTGACACAGCCTCACCTGACTAAGGTATTTCGTGGTATGCCTCAGGACCTCTAGGAAAATGCCGGAAGAGTATCTTGATAAGGCCACGACTGTTTCCTTCCAAATCCTTTCCAATTCACCTGTCATCAGTCTTCCCACCATAGTTTTATTGCCTGGGTGAAGTGAGATTGAGGCCGTTGTTGGGCCCATTTTACCAACACCGGATGAATGATGAATATGGAGCAATCCGTGGAATGAGAATTGGCACGGGAAACCGAAGTATATTGAGAAAAATTACCCAAGTGTTATTCCGTCCACCACAAATCCCACATGACCTGACCTGGGATCGAACACAGGTCGCCGCGTTGAGAAACCGGAGACTAACCGACTGAGCTATGGCACGGTCTAGACGTACAATTGAAAGAGTCGGTAAACGGGACGGGTCTCGAATCGGCTGCCTCATGAATGCAAGGAGTAAGAGCGTGTTGCATATTGAGGGACTTCAGTGTTTAAATCCTTCGTCATATAGTCTGATAATATCCATTTGGATGCGATGGGTGATGCATCTAGAATGCTTGGAAGAGAAGATATACCCATAAGACATAAGGTAAAAAATTGTGAAGTTATCCCTATAACAGGACGTGGAGGCCCATAGGGCTGTGAGACGTCGAGGTTCCTAAATTTTCTAGAAAATCGGCTCAAAGATGGCGTTAAGGTTGTCAGCCTTAAGCGCTAGCTGCCCCCAACCCGTAGGAAGATTCCTGGTACTCATTTCTGTTAGAGACTGAGTCGAACCCAGGGCAATATTGCGGCTGGAAGGATTAGGACAATTGAAAAGAAATCCACTTAATGGGAAATCGAACCTGCAACATTCCAGCTTATAGCATAGTGTCCGCATAAAACATTAAAAATGCAATATGTGATGAACAAGGACCACTTACAAAGTCTAATGGAAGATGAGGTACACATTTGAGAACGGATCCTGGAGAAATGAGTGGTTTGTGACTGCTGATTGTTATTCACATGACTCAGGTTATGGTGCTCTGGCAGGATTCTGTTTGAACATGGAATGAACCTTCGAATATGTTGAGCGGCTATCGGCTTCTCAGGAGGAATCTTGCTCCTTGATATTTAGTTAGTTACTTGTAACGGTAAGTAGTAAGTAAAGGTATTCCTTAACAGGATGTGGAGGCCCAAAGTGTTGTGAGATGTTGAGGATCCCACATTTTCTAGACACTCAGCTCACAGATGACAGTGAGGTTATCAGCCTTAAGAGCCGACCGCCCCTTACCCCCAGGAAGGTTCCTGGTACTCATTTCTGTTAGAGACTCAGTCGACCTAAGGGCCATAATGCGGCTGGAAGGATTAGGTAAATTCAACGTTGTACTCCTCTGTCCTAATCTGTACTCAATTAATCTTCGCAATTAACCCAGGACATGTTGCATTCTCGTCCTTGTACTCTCAAGTGCTGTACCCTCCTGGACTATTCTTAGCTGCAAGCGGACTCAAATTATATAGCAGCTACACGGACAAAGCAGAAAACACAGTTCTATTGTTGCATAGCACAGACCACATAGAAAACAAGTCACGTGAGAGCTCTCTCGCCAGTCCATTGGCGCGCTGACTGATGATTAGCAACGAGCTCTAAACATTGGTCCTATTGTTACGTACGCATATCGCTGGGCGTTTATCGAACCGTTGCCTGGCAATGCGTTAACATGTCACAGTATCCAGGATGGAGTGAACGCTTGAAGTCTGGACAAAACTTCTCTGGTACAGACAGAGAGAGGGAGAATAAATACTTGTAATGCACTTGACTGCAGAATGAACACGTTAATTTTAATTGCAAAGTAGCACTAGTTTGTACGTACAGTCCTATAAGACTCGTCAGGTAGCATGCTGCCCTCAGTACTTACGTCACAGGGTTCATTTTTATGTTGACCTTGAAGTGTTGCCGCTATGTTCTTAGAAGTCTGTGAAACATACGCTTCCCCTCCTATTTTACACTCGTTACAGTTGTCTCACTCGGTGTGCACGAAGAAAATTGATATGGCGCATGTGCGGACAGGAGAACAAATTCAGACTATTGCACATTTTCCCCCCCATTGGCACTACAGCCCCAGTGGGCCTAGGCCTACCTCCAAGAACTTCTCCCTTCACTTCGATTTTTCTAGATCTTACACATTCGGTAGGACTCCTTGGGCGGGTGATCAGCTCGTCGCAAGGCCTCTACCTGTACACAAACAGAGAAAAACGCACACACACAAACTAAACATCCATGCCCTGAGTGGGATTCGAAACCACGATCCCGGTTTCCAAGCGAGCGAAGACAGTACATGCCTTAGACCGCTTGGCTACCGTGACCGGCCTATTGCACCTACAAAGGATACATTATATAATGTACCCAGCACGCATTCTGCTTGTTATTGGGTTCCATAGCTCAGGCGGTTAGTTGCCGACTTCCCACCGCGGCGGCCTGGGTTCGATTCCAGGTCAGGTCATGTGGGATTTGTGGAGGAAAAAGTGGCACTGGAACAGGTTTTCTCCAAGTACTTGGGTTTCCCCTGCCAGTTCTCATTCCATCGACTGTTCCACACTCATCATCTGTCGTCCGGGGCTGGTACAATAGGCAAATTGGACTCAGACAAAGGGTTTTATAGCAGGACCCTCTGCTAGAACAGGTTAAATGATTTCTCTTTTATTCGACTGGTGTTCGGTACGAAACTTGGCAGATGAATTCACTCATGTCAATGAATTTTATTTATAAATTTCTTGGAGTGAATAACAGAGTAGAATCCTGAAATAAGCCACGACCTTTTTATTGAATTTCACTGCACACTTAACCAAATATACTAGCCCACTTAGGGATGGCACGTGGTAGAGGTCGAGTTTTCAATTGACGTGATCTTTCCAGCCGTACAATGGTCCTGGGGTCAACTCAGCCTTTAATAGAAATAAGTACCAGGAATCTTACTGGGAGTAAAGAGCGACCGGCGTGCAAGGCTGACAACCTCACCACACTCTGTGAGTCGATTGTGTAGAAAATGTGGGAGTCTCGACGTCTCACAACCATACGGACCTTCACGTCCTGTTACAAGTATAGTTTTACTAGCCCACTTACCGCAATGAATTTCTGTAGTTCATGCAGTGCCATTAAACTACATGCATGCCTATTAACAAGGTCCAGGGTCTCTGATTGTTATGTCAAGTGTTAAAGGCCGCGCCATAGCTCAAACGGTTAGTCGCTGGCTTCCCACCGCGGCGGCCCTGGTTCGAGCCCGGGTCTGGTCAAGTGGAATTTGTGGTGAACAAAGTGGCGCTGGGTTAGGTTTCCTCCGAGTACTTCGGGTTCCCCTGCCAATCTTCATTCCACCAAATTCTCCATGATCATAATCACCGAGGGCAGTTACAATAGGCCAATCATTGGCCGACGTGTCGAGTGGACGCAACTGGACTCCACCCCCCACTATGTGAATTAAAGAAAATGTCAAGTGTTAAAATCAAGACATCGCAATAACCCGCGACTAATACACACCGAAAGACAGTTGCCGAATGTCGAGGAAATTGGACAACATCCCTGCTTCGCATTAGGAAAGACCGAGTTCAAATCCCGGCCCTGAGGCCTACTATTATGACTGAGAATATTTGTGGGTTTTGTCAGCCTTTGCAGGTAATTCCGGGATTTTATCTCAGATTAGGCCACGACCAGTTCTATTCAACGTTATGTAATCCATCATATCGACAGCTGCGTTAATTCACTATAAGAGGCTCAGCTGTGTACTGAATTCCATGAGTCAGTACTGAGAAACTGATAGTCGTTCAGGTGGACTGGAAAATTTTCTTCTTTTCTAGAACCGAATTTGTTGCCGTATTTAAAAGACTTCTCCACTGGACCCAACTCTTTGCCAATTGAATCCAAGCCAAAATCTTACACCTTATTTCCTTTAGATCCATGTACTCGTATATACTGTCTTGTCATCTACGTCTATTTCTAGCACTTTTGTTTAGAGGTAGACTTGTATTCGGTAGTGCTCAGTTCGACTCTTGGCTGGAACACAGACTACCGCGACTGAGGTTTTCGTGGTTTCTCCAAGTCGCTCCAGTCAAATGCCGATAAATTATGTGGATGAAACCACAACCGCTTCCTTCCAGATTCTCACCCGTCGAATCTAAATGTTGCACTTTCTGACAGAGTCGTGAAGTAAAGCACAAATGCAAGAATATCTCCCAAGTAGTCCCTTTCTTTTGGGCTTTCCGCCTCATTTGTTATGCATACTTCCTTTTCCCCCAAATTTCTTACTTCTTAGTACTGTGACATATAGACCCGTTGCTGGGCAACGACTCTGTGGACACGTTCTCGCAGCAACAAATGCGCATGTAACAATCGGATAACTTCCGTTTCTATGCAACACGCTGTAAATACAATAGAGGAAGAGGTGTTTTCTGTATGGTTCGCATATATACATTGCTGGGCAACGGTTGTGTTTTCTATGAGTCCCTCTCGAGTCTATATAACTAGTCCAGTCGTAAATCAGAAGTCAGTCGGAAAACGAGAATGGAGCGAGTACTCGGCAGTCAAGGAAGAAGGATTCCGCTCAAGATTAGTTGTGAGTTAATGTAATTGATTGTGATTAACAGAGATTGTACAAGAAGGTGTTAATAAATCGTTATTATTAGTCACGGAGCCATAAACTCGTGGCAGTATTGGTAGCAGTGTCTGAAGAACAGTCCATTGATTTTTTCGATTATTTTTGAACATCTAGAATGAGCATTGTGCGTTTCTAGTGCTGACGCGCTTCAGGAAAGAAGTCAACTCGACTGGAGCTCGAACTAGGTACCTCTCCAGCGTTACCGTCGCACCATCCTGCTTGCTCTAAGCCCCCTGAAAAGTTCGCAGAACCTGTGGCGTTCTGAGTTCCGGGTACGGAGTGAGGAGGCCAGCCTTCCGGAACTAATCAGGGCTGATGTGGCCGTCTGCAGACTTGCCTCCCCCCCTCCTCCTCTTCTTTTACACAGCTGTTCACTTTTCTTAGCGGGAAAGTTTTTACAGTTTACTCCTTGAGTTTAGATAAAACTGTCCCAACACCTTCTCACCAATCAAAAGGAATGCCTAGTCGTCACAGCTGTTCTCTCGCTGGCCGTTTATATATAAAGGTGGCCTAGAACTTGAAACCACTTCAGTTTCTCTGCGGCTACACACACGAATTCAGTTGTGAGGGGAAATGGGAACAATGCTGGTGAGTTGCTTGTTGCTTTATTTAGAGATGCTGTGTCGACGCCATGCGAGCAACTTCTCGTGTCACGTGACCTGCTCAATCTAGGCACATGTTTACCATCGCATTTGTTTTATTGCTAGTGGGGTGGGACTAACTTCCTTGTACTGCGGCCACTTCTGGCCTATTGTATCAGCAGCAGGTGATAGGTGAGGGTGATTGTGGAGCAATTGGTGGAATGAAGATTGGCAGGGGAAACCGAAGTACTCGGAGAAAACCTGCCCCAGCGTCACTTTGTTCACCACAAATCCCACATGATCAGACCCCGAGCTCGAACCCGGGCCGCCGCGGTGGGAAGCCAGCGACTAACCGCTTGAGCTATGACGCGGCCTTACAATCACATAATGGAATAAATATTGATTCTTAGCTTGTTTAATGACGCTGAATTGACCCTATACTAGTAAATTGTTATATTCACTCTTGATTTAAGGTAGTTTGACGGTTATGTATGTTGAAGGAGATTTGGAATTATACATGAGAATAAATTCTGGGCGATAGAATTAATATCAAGTACAGCCTATGAAATCACTCAAAATACAACTTTTTAATCGCATATTCCTTTTTTATTTATGGCTTGTTTAACGACTGAGGCCGGTGACAGTAACCGCCTAAGGCATGAACTGTCCTCTCTAGCTCGGAAGCCTGGATCGTGGGTTCGAATCCCACACAAGGCATGACTGTTTGGTATATGTATGCGTTTATTGTCTGTTCGTGTTGTCCAGTGTTTAGGTAGGTAGAGGCCTTGCGATGAGCTGATCACTTGTCCAAGGGGTCCTACCGTCTGTGAAATGATGAACATGGAGAAAAACAACTTCGAAACCGTAAAGGTATGAGGAACATATTAAGTAGGCAAGTAAGTTGGTTAAGGACATACAACACAGAAACTATTGACACGATTATTGACCAATGACGACCAGGGAAGTGATAGCCGAATTGGTTTTCTGTCAGTCATAGCGGACAAAGAAGACACACACGTACGCAATGATATGAATTTAGGCTTTCAGTTCTCAATATATAACATCAAATATTCTGCATCTATTGTTAATTGTTACGTACATTACGATGACGAGAATTGAAAGGTTCAAGTAATGATTACATTGGGTTTCTGCCGCCAAGGAGACAGGCTGCATTTCCATTGACTTACAAATACGGGTATCTTTTCACTTTTAGATTATTACTCTGAGAACCAAACGAAACCCATAAAGAAAATATGTCTGCAGTATCCCGAGTTACTTAGCGGCCTCCGTAGTCTAGGGGTAACGTTCCCACCTAATGACTCAAGGTACGCGGGTTCAAAAACCCGGCGGAGGTCGTGGAATTTTTAAGGGCGGAAAAATTCAGGGAACAAGTCCTCCGGGAGGGACTTTAAGCCGTGGGTCCCGTGTCGTAGATTTACGGCACGTAAAAGAACCTCATGTCTCTAGGAGACCTCTGAGCAAAATTAGGCCAAGTTTCCCGCCCAACTAGTTTCCAATTCCTCCGGTAGATGGGGGAAGTATCAGGTACCACTGCCAGAGGAGGGGGGACCTCTCTGACAGAAAGGGACTAAAGTATTAGATACCACTACCAAGTAGAGGGTAGAAACCTTGCTGGCAGAAAGGGACTAGGAACCCCTGCCAGAGGAGGGACGACCTCGCTGACAGAAAGGGACTAACTATTAGATACCACTGCCAGTAAGAGGTTGGAACATCGCTGGCAGAAAGGGACTGATAGTAAGCACCAGTACCGGTAGGGTATGGAGACAGTAGAAATTAAAGGGGGACGCACAATGGACCAGTAACCGGTCTAAGTGCATGGGGAAACCCACCCCCTCAATACGGAATACGGAATTCTGAGTTACTTAATGTTAAATCTGGTGGTACAGAAAATAACCGCATGCAAATTAACAGTTAAATTTTAAAAAATTGTAATTATTTCCGTGCCTATGGGAACTTCGCTAAAGTCATAGTAGTTTCCCCGATATATCTATGAGTTTCCGAGAAAAATAATCTATAATGAAGCCCGATTACAAGGCCAAAGACACCGTTACGTAATGTTTCGCAGGCTGATTTATTTCTTGCATTACTTCATAGTGTAAACGCATATTTGGATGTCTTGTCTCTTTGTTCATCCACACCAATTTTACATCGGGACATTAGGGAAATAATCGTGATTGAATTTTATACTGGCGTCTGCACTGAAGTTTGATGGTCGAATTTAAATTATTGGTTACGTAATCCTATTTTGCACGAAAACCTGATCAAACGTTATCGTTTTACATGATAACAGTTCTTCTCACAGAAGAGTAAGATAACGCGTGAAATTCATCTCTCTGTGATATTGAACCGCGCCTTTCAAATTTCTTGATAACTATCTCGCTGTGCTAAAGCAAGGTTAAGTTATTTGGTATGGCTTATTAATGTCAATAAATTCAATAACGCTTGAACAGATCATCTGTTCTGGCTCAGTCATTAAATTGAATTGCTACTGAGTAGAAACAGTGTTAAATTACCGTTCGGCGAAGATCTCGCATTGTTCAACTACTCACGTAGCAGCTCGAGCCACGTGCAACATACATTTCGGGCGCCATCGTGTGAAGTCGACTAACTTCATGGATTTGGCAGGTAGCGGAAAACTTATCGCAGGGTGTACGGGGGGGGGTAATGCTAGACGAAATCTGGGAGCTTCTGAAAGGACAGAATGAGGGCCGCTCCATAGCTCAAGCGGTTAGTCGCTGGCTTCCCACCGCGGCGGGCCGGGTTCGAGCTCGAGTCTGGTCAAGTGGGATTTGTGGAGGACAAAGTGGCGCTTGGGCGGGTTTTCTCTGAGTATTTCGGTTTCCCTTGCCAATCTTCATTCCACCAAATTCTCCATCATCATAATCACCGGGGGTATTCTACAATAGGCCAATCAGTGGCCGCCGTGCCGAGTGGACCCAGTTGGACTCCACCCCCCATTGAGCGAATAAAAAAAAAAGGACAGAATAGGTAAATCACACGAAGCACTGAAATCAAGGCCACTGATATTACTATTGTAGATGAGGATTTCTATCCTCTGGTATAAAAAACTGTGTTGTCCATAAGATCTAAAAGTTAGTGACGATGGTGCATTAACACAAATATTATGTTCCTGAACATTATTCATCGTCTTGGTTTTGTTTAAAACACAACGTTTCGGAGACTGGTTTCGGTCTCCGTCTCCATCTAAAACCTACCCAGTCGCCGAAACATTGTGTTTTAAATAAAAACAGGACGATGGATAATGTCCAGAAACAATATTTATCTGCTGTGTAGTCCGTTGAAAGTCAACCGACGTTTAGGAGGAACATGTCTCCTCCATCTTCAGCACCGAAGAATAAACCAAGGAAGAAATGAACATAGAGAAGACAGCAAGATCTGACCGTCTTCGATCCTAAAGCTGGAGGTGACAGGTTACTCCGAAATGTCGGTTTAACGGTATACAAGGAGTTTTATCCCAGAAGACATGATCTTCATAAAGGCCACTGTGAGAACTTCATACACTGCTGCACTGTAGACGTCCGTATACACTTACAAACAGCAGGTAATTACAGTTAAAGTTTGTAAATATCGGTTAAACATCAGATTAGTGTTGACTCTTAATGAGTTGGTGTCAGCGTTGACGTAGAAATATTCTATCTTGATTTTGATATGATACAAAGAATATAAAAAGTAGACTTAGAAGGGCTGTTGCAAGAATAATTTACAGGATTTACACATCTAGCAAGTGATCTAAGAGATGACAGTGTTTCTACCCTAACGACAGACCCTAAAAGAAATCAAAATACTTAGCTACAAATGAATTTAACACTTCTAGCCGGCTTCTGAGTCAAGATTCGAATGAAATTTACGGTACTCCTATTTGAATTGTTGACTTAACACTCGCTTCTGGTCAAGGCTTCACGTGAATGTCATTGGTCACCTGACAAGCAGGCTGCAGCTCGGGGATTAACCGACTTGTCAAAGGTTATTAATACATGCGATATTCAGAGCCCCACACCGTCTCGTACCTTAGTTGGAAAAAGGATGTAAGCATCTGCTACGTCACAAGAATTCTGTCGCCAAGCTTAGGCAGGTTGGGTACAGAAACAAAAAATCGAGGTAATATCCCCTTTCAGACCAAAAGTGACTTAATTAGTAGAGGTGAACCACATATATGTGCCAGTCTTCCGTTTAGGTCACTAACTAGATAGCAATTTTGCTTCGAAACCTGAATTAATGCCAATTAAAATCCAGATACGTCCACTTCAGAAAGTCCGGGGTCAAACGAAGATTGCAAGATTGCCTTGTCACACCGGACAGGGGAGCTTTCTCTTCGTCACAGCATACAGCTAGACTCTGTGGGCCGATGGAACCTTGTGCCCCTTGGCAATGGTGGTTTTTCTCCCCAGGAGTGAAGCTATATGTGCTGAAACCCAGAATACGCCACTTCTACACGCATTTCATGGGCACAGAAGCACTCTAACATACCATAGTGATCATGTAGACAGCCTCTGTGGTCTAGTGGTCAGAGTTCCTGGCTACATATCCAGAGGTCTCGGGTTCGATCCCCGGCGCTACCAGATTTTCTGACAAATAGTGGGTCTGGAACAGCGTCCACTCAGCCTCGTGAGGATAATTGAGGAGCAATTTCAAGGAAAGAGCGTCTCAGGTCTAGAACACCGAGATTAACTGCCGTGAGGAACCGTTTCTCTGACCACGCGACACTCTCTATCCGCAAAAGTTGGCACTAACTGCGCCGACAAGCGGCGGTCGCTCGGTCGGTATAGTTCGCTTGCGGGCTACAAGCCACCAGCTTTGTTTAGTGAGCATGTAAATAAAATGTTAGCAACGTAAACCAAATCTTCCGCTAAAATGAAGTAGTAATTGTTCATTGCAACCCACATACCCGTGTTATGTAAGCGCTGGAGAAAGACTTCCGCAACAAATTTAACAAAAGTTTCGACGAAGATTTCGGGAGCTTATGTATACATCTTCCGCAAGTAACGCGTAGAACGCTTCTGTTCTGTTGAGGTTTCACTCACAAATACATGGTTCAGTAATGATTACATCCCTATTCCTGTACCTTCACAGGCTAGCTGAAAGGCATTATATCGGATTAGTGTCAATGCGCAGTTACATTTCAAGAACGAAACGGAAGTAGCTAACTTGAATAGATTAATTCTCGGGAAAATGATAGGACCTCAGCTGCTTAAGGAATTCAAGGTCTCATATAAAGCCTGATGTTGATTACCATGTTCACAAGAAGCCGCGGCTGGACGCGAGCGAACCTATTCCAAATGAATATTAACCACAACGCGAAAGAAGCAGTCAAGCTTGAGTCAATGATCTTTCCTGGATTCGATAAGAGAAACAGAAGAGGTTACAACGAATCTAAGAAGTTAAAGGGCGTACCGTTGTGAAGTTATACACAAAGCAGCTTGTCCGTGTCACTCAACTGTCGCCTATCACGACGTTGCTGCAAGTAATTTACCGCTCCGTCTATTCAGGCCATAGGATGCGAAGTGAATTAAGATTAAATCCTTGGTTAGAAGGAACCAAGTACAAGCCAGAGGTTGCAGATGACAATGACTGATATCAAAATGAACTTGCCGACAGAATTGATTAACGGAAATTTGTCTGGATGTTGGCGGCACTACGTAAGAAACTTATTTTTTATCGTCGCGATCCAATCAGTTACATCCTGTAACACCCCTGTCACCTGTAATTATTCGCAACTGCTTCGGGAGCTGGAGAAATTAAACGCATACTGCACCACCATACTTTGAAAAAAAATGCTATGTTACTTAGTATCTGATTCGCTAAACAACATTCATTTTTCCCTTGGCACTACAGCCCCAGTGGGCCTAGGCCTACCTCCATGAACTTCTCCGTTCACTTCGGTTTTTCTAGATCTTACACATACGGTAGGACTCCTTGGGCGAGTGATCAGCTCGTCGCAAGGCCTCTACCTGTAGACAAACACAGAAAAACGCACACAAACATCCATGCCCTGAGTGGGATTCGAACCCACGATCTCGGCTTCCGAGCGAGCGAAGACAGTGCATGCCTTAGACCGCTCGGCTACCGTGACCGGCAACCAATATTCATTAGTACATATATATTATGTTTCTGGACAGTAACCATCAGCCTGCTTCCATCTAAAAGACCGTACTTCCGTACCTACCGCATTACCACAGTCTCATAGAATGTGTACGCCTAATAGGAACGTCAATAGGCTGTATTTCTCCATCCCTTTCAAGAAAAAAACATGCTCTGCGATCTGGAACGAAATATGTTTATCAAATTCCAACCTAATCTAACTCGAGTAGTGCGAAGAAGCACGCTTTCGCGCGGCGGGGGCACTGCCCTGCAGGAACAGGTTTCTGTGACTGCTGAAGAAGTTACCGGCCAGGTAGGGGTAAAGTGACAGCAGTATAGTGAAAGTAAAACGTGCTTCGTTCGCTATCAAAATGAGACTCTGAAAAGTGAAAATTACTTGCAGAAGCTGAAGTTGCGGTTCAGATAGACGCGTATATATTAAAATGCAGATACGTTTTATTTATACTTCTCTTTTGTGTGGGTGTTCCACTTGCTCTGTGACATTACGCATAATGAAGTTTACGGTGGGCTGAGAATAGTATTTGGATCTATCAGGGAGCTACAACGCTACGGGATGGAAACCAGAGGAACAGTGGTTAGTTTCCCGACAGGGGCTGAACTCCTACCTTTTCTTCACAGGCCCCAGACAAATTCCGGATGCGATTGAAACTCATCTGTTCCAGTTCGTGACCGGAGCTGCTTCCTCCGGAGCGAAATCGCAGTGCTGTGAAGGTGACTACTCAACTCCCTCTACTACAGAGGTTAAGGAACGAAGGGGCTGTATCTCCACTCCCCCATACGTCTTCATGGTTTGATGTTTAAATACATGTAGGGAGGAAGTAACGGAAACTTGAGGAAGGCTGCGTAATAAGAAGCGTAACAATTTGCTCTCCTGAGAAACTGCTGGGACAATCTACTCGAGAAGGAAGGATTGGGCGGAACATACATGGCTCATGGCATAGATGACATTTTATTTGGACATTCTTTAAGGAAAGATCAAACGGGAGACGGAGGTGCCCATGGAAGGGTGTTGCTAAAAGTAATTTTAAAAGAATATGGTGTTAGTGTGTGTTAAAGATAAACTTGTCTCTGCGCTTAACTAATTAAGCACCACGCCATGAAGCTGTGTGGGGTTAAGGTATAGCTCCACCATACTTGACCTCGACACTAGAGAGAGATAAGCGATCAGCTTCACTCCCCTGCCGTTTTACCCCCAGGGAAATAGCTCCCGGTACCCATTGGATAGGAGGCTGGGTGGGTCCCAGGATAACTCTTAGAAGCTGTGGAATAAAGAAAAACCTCTTGCCCCGGCTGCTAATAACATAGCTCTGTGCCGAACTGGATTCGTATGGGCCCACTGACTGGCTCCTGCGAGCACGGAAATAAATCTCCGCGTTCGGAAGTAAGCGGGATTGTTTCCGCAGAGTTAGCTTTGGAATGCAGCTGCTGTAGGGCGTCAAATTAAAAGGAAAAATAATTAGGTATTCCAAGTAAATACTCAGATGAGAGTAGGTATTCGTGGCCTATTATATATTCCTGGAAAACTAAAGAATACAATGGTAAACCTCGGTCACGACAGACAGTAAGCTGCGTGAGATTGTGTCCGGAGTGTATAGTTGTGCACGAACACGCTTGGCTATGAAAGAACGAAGGAAAATAAGTGAGTCATTGACCTTCAGTGCTCTAAATAAACAAATATCTTTAAGAGACAGTAGAAAGTGTACAGCCACTGCTGTAGATAACGGATAACGACAGCCATTATACACAATGAGACTCACTGTAAACAAGTGTCACGCAATATCACCAAAAAGGTTTCTAATTGACGCCTGTGGGAGCACTCTCACTCTACGTGATGGAAATAGCTGTTGCATGCTGCCACCTATCAGAGTGGAATGAAAACTCCAGATTTGAGGGAACGCAAAGTGCCTCGAGTTGGACGTAATGGATTGCATGATATGGAGTCTGTCCTGCAGTTTGTTGGTGCATTGTCTCGGAAAACATTTGACGAATCTTAGAGCAGTGAAGCTGTGAGACAGTGTCCGTTGCCTTAGATCAAGATATATTTATATTTTCATATTAATAAAATGCGGCTCGTAAAATAAAAATAAGTGCAGCATATAGATTATGATTTATAACACAGTTGTCCCTGTGCTTAACCAATTAAGCACTAAGCCATGTAGGCGTATGGGGCAATGGATGTATAGATCCACATTTTCTTGACCTTGGCACTAGTTGGAGGTGAGTGGTCAGCTTGATGCCCCGGCAGCTTTACCCCCGGAGAAAGAGTCTCAGTACCCATTGTGTAGAAGTTTGGGAGGACTCCAGGGTCGGTCTGGACGGCATGGAGAAGAGACAAGCCTTGACCCTACAGGGACTCGAACTCCAAACTCCTCGGTCGTCCAGCTCGTAGCCAGTCGCTATGCCGACTGTGGTACGTAATCAAGTAAATGTCTGGGAATTTCTCGACCAAGAAAATGACAGATAAACGGTTACGTAAAATTGTTGCACTTATTCCAGTTGAAGTAATTGTCTCATCTCATTTTCCTGTTTCGTCGATACCCCTCCCTGAATCACACCACATTTTGACAGTCCTGTTATGCTCCGCGCGCCTGACGTATGGCTCTCCTGGAACAAATATGCGTAAGCAACGTAACTTGGTCTAAAACTGAGCCACATTTCTTTCTTTCATAGATACATTTGCAGCTGATTGCGGTCCTGGCCATCTGCTCCTCTTCTGGGTACCGCTGGAAGCGTGGTTTTCACGACTACCCGCACGGCGTGGAGACTATTGATCTGGGCAGGGCAGAGGAGACTACTCACACCATTCGGTTCCCACTGCCTGTACGAACCGTCAGGGTCACCAAGACAGTCGCCGTCCCGGTCCCGGTTCCCTACCCAATTCGACGGGACGTCCCTGTGCCTGTGCACGTCCCTAAACCAGTGCCCGTCCCTGTATCGTACCCTGTCCCTGTACCGCATCCTGTCCCTGTCGCTGTGCAGCAACACGCAGAACCTGTAAGACTTGTGTTGTATGACGCCGGAAGATCCCTAGGAGGTTATGATGGCTACTCTGGTGCCACCGGCAGCACAGGAGCCACCATAGGGCACCACGAAGGCTCGATAGGTGTGGTTGTGGGTGCCAGCTACGGGGTTTCAGCTCCAGTTGGAGCTGATGAGAAGTACCCCGGTACTGTCGTCAATGAACCTGTTGGTGTCAAGAAGTACACTAATACCGTCGTACCAGGTCAAGGCCAGGGATCGTATAATTATCAGAACAGTTATCAGAGCAACGGAAGTGAAGGAAGCTCTGGTAACGGTGGCTCAGCTGATAGTTACAGTATTACCAAATCCATTGAGCCGAGTTATGATGGATCAGCCTCAGAAGGAGGAGCAAACAGTATACAGGGCTATGAAGAAGATGCGAAAGGGAAATAGATCAGTGTTTAACCCATTGAATGAAAAAATTTGATGAATTTGAATCCTTGTTGTTTTCTTTCTCTCTTATGTTTACTCTTGCCAAATTACTTTTTTGTAAATCAGATGGACTTTACCTGCCAGTCTATCCGCTATATCTGAGGAGTGTTATGCAAAGGAGAGAAGGGTCCAGATGGTGTTGTTATAGTAATTCTGTTTAGATCCCTTACCTGAGCGATTTCCAGCAGCAACTTGGCTATTACAGGCGAGCATCATAAATACTAAAACCCAAGAACGGAAACAAATGACGTATTAATAAAAGCGATTAACTAATTAGTTCTGAGGTGAACGGTCAGTTTCCCCCTCCACTTCTGATTCGTCTTTCATTTCGTTCACCATTTAATATTTATTACACATCCCATTTTTGAGTAACAAATTAAAAAGTAAGGAAATAAGACCGATTTGAAGGTTGTCAGGTGTTTTAAGATGTTATTTATAAGGTAAATGAGCTTTCGGGTAGGTCAGGTTGGGATCATTGTCTCACGGAAATGCAGCGTTCTCCCAATTACCGCAGCCGTAAGATTTTGTAATGCTGTTAATTGTGTTCCTCCATCGACTGGAAATGTGAAAAATGAAAGCTAATAATCAGAAAATGGAGAACGAAAAAGGAAAACTGTTGTTATTTTCTTCAATCTTCCACTCAAAATTGAGAGAAGAGCTTCCCTTAAGGTTATCAGATTTTTTGGAATATGGTATTGAGCTAGATAAATATATGTGGCAGTGACGTAGGTACGTAATGCCCCAAAAGTTTGTAATCAGAAAAAAACTATGATATTTTATTTTGTTTTACTGTAGGTTTCCGACATATTCACCGGTATTATTTGTTCCTGCCTTTGTTTTTGTCTTAATTAAGTATGATAATTGCACCAAACAAAAGCAAGGCCTAGGAGCAAGCAGCCTCTCTGCAGATAATAATACATATTGTAGCGATATTAGGGCATAAGCATATAAACTTCGAAAACTGTTTTGGTAAGAATAATTTTTGTTTATTATAATTATGCTACGTACATTTATGCGGAACATTAATCTTTTTGTAACCCATCACGAATAGTTTTAGAAAGGTTCTGTAACACTGAGCTTGTTAAAAAAAAAGCAGGGTGTTGCATATACAGTAGAACTTGGTTATAACGTCATCAAAGGACCTAAAAATGGTGTCGTTATAAACGAATGTCGTTGTAACCGAAATGGGCACTTCCACAGTAGCCTTATGTTAGTCACGTAAAAATCTACCAAAACCGAGTTAAAATGTTGCATTTTTTTTTAGTGAAATACGTAGTTAAGTACAGACTAACGTAACATTAACGTGGAATTGCCCAAATGTGTAATATCAAAGACATATTACAGCGCTTTTCACTGACAATACACACAAGATTTCACGAATCACTTTAACTTTCTCTTTAAACTTTAAACTTAAACTTTAAAAACAGTTGCTTTATGTGGAATTAGTTCGTACCATTGAATATTTGACGCAATAGACAAGGTGTCGCAGAAACCGTTGTTGCTATAACCAAGTTTTACTGTAATTCACATCCATTTTCCAAAGAAATCTAACATGGAACTTCAAAACACTGTTACTTCATGGTAAAGTGATTCTAGCACTGCAAATTGAAAGAACTGTCTGGAACCGAGAAAGCAGAGAGAGGCTTTGATGTTTCTTATTTGATGGGGATAGTTCTTATCGTTGGTATTTCCCTTAGATATAATGACGTAGCAGAAGAATGAATGAACTGAGGGCACCCCAAAGCAACTGACAAGAGTTTTTGCAGCGATAGTGGCGGAACGAGAAGAAGAATTTCATTCCAGCCCTCACGTTCCGATATTTTTCACGAAGTTGGGGTTGGGGTTGGGGTTGAGGTTCTCAAAACGTTAGCTGTAAAGGCTACTGTCTTCAGGGATATAACGCAGCCCAGCCCTGAGGAAGTCAGCAGACGTTTCGGAAGAATATATCAACTCAATTCTCAGGGTCGAAGTGTAAGCCAAGTAAGAACCATGGAAGTGGTAGCAAGGTGACCCACCCTACCCTCTTAATCTGCATGTCTCTTTATTTCATTGTCTCGTTAATTTCTGAGGCATACGACACTCTCGTCTTGCCAAATTACAGAAGTTCTTCCGAGTGTGAGGGTAACCCAAATATGGTTCGACAACCTCAGAGATAATTTAGATTTCATTCCTAATTAAGTGGTCCAAACGGGCTGCGTGTAGCAGGATATCTTGCAGGATATTTGGACCGAAGAGAGCTGAAGTGACAGGAGGTTGGAGAAAACTGCATAATGAGGAGCTTCATAACTTGTTCTCTTCTCCAAGTATAATTAGAATTATCAGGTCAAAGACGATGAGATGGGCAGGTCGTGTAGCACGAATGTGAGAGACGAGGAATGCATATAGGATATTGGTGGGAAAGCCACAAGGAAAGAGACCACAAGGAAGACCAAGGCGTAGGTGGGTGGATAATATTAGAAAGGATCTTAGAGAGATAGGATGGGATGGTACGGATTGGATAGGTCTGGCTCAGGATAGGGACCAGTGGAGGGCCCTTCTGAACACGGTACTGAACCTTCGGGTTCCATAAAATGCTGGGAAATTCTTGAGTAGCTGCGGAATTTGCGACTCCTCCAGAAGGGCTCAGCTCCATGAGTAAGTAAGTAAGTAATGATTGTTGAATTCATTGGTTTCTTGTATGTGGGTCCAGCCATCAATCCTATACAAAAGAATAAACCCTACATATTCTTGCACTTGGATCTGGTATTGGTTCTAGAATTCTCGGACAGTCGGAATATTTAAGACAAGGAGAAATCAAAATGTACTCTGTCTTGTATATCTTCGTGGTTTAGTGCTTAAGTAATTAAGAACAGGGACACCTTTACTTTTTTTATTTGCCTCTTAGACTGGGGCCACACGAGCTCACGAAGTACGTCCGTTGCAACGAACGTACTTTATGACGGACGTTGCTGAGGACACCACACAGTTGCAGAATGCGGTGCGTAGTTTTTTGTCTGCAATGGAGCCAGAAGAAAGCTTAGCATTCGTCTCTCTTTTTTATTTCTACAATGGACGTCACGACGTTCGTTACAACGGACGCATTTTGTGCGCTCGTGTGGCCCCAGCCTTATTCTGACACAAATACTGAAATACTGGAAGGTTAAATGAGGATATTTTAGAATATTGCTTATCTAAATTCTATCCAGGAGTATATATATATATATAATTTTCCTATGTCATTAAGCATAATTCTAAAATTGTGAAGAACAGAGATGATGGAATATTAGGTAAGATTTGAGGTTTTCACGGCGGTGATTATGAAGAATGCAGTCTTCTGGAGTGTGGCGACGTGTAGATATTGTGTATACCGACGTTTCGGAGGAACGTATCACCTGTAGCCACCTGCTCACGCTGGTACCTCGCTCACGGATTTTTATACCCTGAATATGGAGGCGATAAGTTCCTCCAAAATGTCGGTTTACACAATATCTACACGGCGCCATATCCCAGAAGACGACATTCTTCATGGAATATTAACTTTTTATATTATTGAGTTTCTTGACGTTTCCACTTATCCGGTATGTCAAACAGAACATAAGGTTTCGTAATCTGGATCTTTTCTGTTTCTCACGTAAAGTTTCCGAAAAGTTATATTCTATTCGGAATGCTAGCACAAGAATTAGACCCAGAAACCCAATAATATTAAGTGTTATTAAAAATTCTTATGCTAACAGCAAAATGCATATTGAACTGCCAAAAATAAAGTAAATATTAACGACTGAGTCATGATTTTACATATATGCTATTGCTTTTATCTGCACAAGGCTCTATTGTTTATATTTACCTGAAATATCGTTCGTAAATTAACTTCTTTTTTTTTTTTACCAAGATTCTTGGCTGAAGATGATTCTAGGTTATAATCTGATGATTAGTTACAATAACACGTACGAGTTGTACTTTTATTCTTGCATATGCCTTTAGGCTTTCATAAAAGTACACCGAATAACACACAGTTTCTTAAGCACAACACATTGTAATCCGGGATTCACTGTAAAGATCGCTATAGGAACAGCAAACGAAAATTAAGCTGTCCATATTTGTTTTCCATAAAACTTTTTCCGTTATTGAACTCTCCATTCTAATTTATATATATTCCTTCTATTTATGTATTTCCAGTTTCAACGTGACGAATCGATTATAACTGACACATTTGGAGATATGTCAAGGTACATTTATTTCTTTTCAAAATATATTCTTTGTTTACGCAACACTGGAAAAAACCGTTAATTTTGTTTTCCATTATTCATTTACAAGTACTTCAGCAAAACGAAAAGAATTCTAACTCATAATAAAAGTTACACTAAATACAATGTAATTAATTATATTAGTGACAGTTCGCAGGATGTTGGAGAAAATAATTTCTAACCTGAACAGTTTCTTTATTATAAATATACTTCAAATAATCTACGAAGAAAATGGCAAGTTTGACTTAGTTTCTCTTAGCGATAAATGAACATAAAATAAAAAAATGAACTGCATTTGAGAAAACAAAAGAAGGTGCCATACGATAAACATCAAATTCATGACGTTCTGAATGCTCCATAAAGTTGCTAGAGTTTGAGTTGCATTTAAACTCATACTTGCAGTCTTAAAATATCATGATTTACTTACGAGATACCCTTATGGTTGCTGTGCGGTTAGTACTTACAGTTCCTCATAGATGGCACACGTATTTAATTTCACTGTCCTCTTTTAAGTGTCAAAGAGTTTCTCTTTGTTTGTTCTGATGATATCATAGGAATAAAAAATTACCATGTTTTGATATAAGTGAAATGTAATAAATTTAAAATCTCTTTACAATTTAATTTATTTAAGGTCATTTTTTCCTGTATAATTTTGTATTTGACGTCTTTTGAATTCATGCCATTGTTGAGATTTTAAATTGTAAATAATGTTGCTATATGTGTACCATAATCAATAAAAATTTTATTGAAAGCTCTTGACGATGTTCCTTTCCTTATGGGTGGTAGTCTACGCGCGGCAATCCATCACATGTGGAATTTCTTACTGTCTCATATTCGACTTTTATTCCGGAGGTATCGGGTTCGAATATTGTCCTGAGTATTGAATATACAATTACAGTTATTCCTGATGTTCCTCAGCGTTTCCATAAAAAATGTAACCTTGAAGAGTTCATCAACGCCGTCCAGTGGGGTTGATAAATGTTTTTTTAATAATTCATCCTTTACATGTTTCGGTTGGAGCTACCATCTTCAGAAGGACACATCATTACATGCGGAAACTACTAGTAACCATTGATATTGTAATAGTGGTTCCCGCGTGTATTGATGTGTCCTTCTGAAGATGGTCGCTCCGACCAAAACATGTGAAGAATGAATTATTAAAAAAAATATTTACCAACCACACTGGACGGCTTGGATGATCTTTCATACTATTGCTAGTGTGACGGACCAGGATGAACCAAGTTAAAATTAATCTTGAACCATTTGACATCAGCCTGGCTTTAACTTTCTCTCGTCCCTGTGGTCGGGAGTAACTCTGTCAATGTATTGATTGCGCTGCAAAAAAAAAAAAAATCCCTGATATAGTCCGCAAGCGAACTATACCGACCGAGCGACCGCCGCTTGTCATCGAAGTTAGTGCCAACCTCAGCGGATAGAGGGTGTCGCGTGGTAAGCTCAACGAATCCCCACCGTCCTTAATTTCGGTTTTCTAGACCGGAGCCGCTATTTCCTTAAAATAGTTCCTCAATTATCATCACGAGGCTGAGCGGACCCCCTTCCAGACCCACTACTTCTCAGAAAAAAATCTGGTAGTGTCGGGAATCAAACTCTGACCACTAGACCACAGAGGCGGTCACTGAGTGTGCTGTAAGTTAGAAAAGTTAAGATATCCGACAGGGGAAATGGTGTTTCTGTTCTGAAGCGCATCCATACCGACACAGGGTCACACCGAGATTCCTACCCATTGGGTACCGGTGGCTCATTCCCTTGGAGACAGCGACAGAGCCGTGAATTTTCCCACTCACCCTCTGCTAGTGCCGGGATGGAAAATGTGCGGGCCTACATCTGCACTCACTACGCGTGTTCCTGGCCTTGTGATTAATGAAGCAGAGACATTATTACCTTTCACC